TATAACAATTAATTATAAGCGTTAGATGAACGGAAATCAACGGCTGCGATGAAGAGTAAGATTTTTAAGTCTTACTCTTGAGTCAAATGATCCCTCCCCTATATATATATATATATATATATATATATATATATATATATATATATATATATATGGGTTACGTTTCAGATGCGGATGATTATCATAAAAGATTCCGAACATATCATAAGATTTTCTTTCTTGAAAATTCGCACTTTTTCAAACCCAGAAAATAGAAGGAATTCTGGGGAGTTGTTGATTTTTGTAGGGATCAATCATAGAATACGAACGCTGATTCAGTCTTATTATTCTTATGTCACATAATATACACAAATTTAAGATGGGTATCACTCTACTTTTTCTTTTTCTCTCTAAGTGGTCCCCACTTATATAAATAAGTCTATAGGAGATAATAATTATTTATAGATAATAGGATAAAATTATTACCCATATATATATATAAGGAATTGACAAAAATCTCAGATGGAAATAGTGAACCACCTCGATTGAAATGGTTTATTGCAAGTTAAATTTGTGACTGACAATTTTGAGACGTGATTAATATATGGGAAGAATAAACATCAGTAAGTAAAAATATTTAAGGAAAATTTTACTCGTCATATTAATATTATTTAAACCATACTTATATAATGTTATGCTAGAAAAACATTTGTTAAATTTGATAAATGAATAATTGCATCACTTTGTCATATTAAATTAAATTTATGTTACCTTTATGTAAAGTTAGATAAACATTTGTTGAAGTTAATTTTGATCAAATATTAAAATATCTTTAATTCACAATTGAGTAATATGATATAAATTGCGTCACATATCAAAGTTATTATCATTAACAAATTTTTCTTTAATAATAAATGTGATAAACAAATAATTCATAATTGAGTAATAATATGAAATATTTAAAATAAAAGTGTTTATTATTTTAAATGACACAATTTATATCATTTCACTTTCACAAAAAAGTGAGATCTACACCATTTTTTTGTCAACTCTCTCTCTCTCTCTCTCCTTCTTTATTTATCTTTCTTTCTCTTAAAATGACACAATTTTACATCCTTTAAAATGACACACTTTTTCCAATATTTAATAGTAAGATTAGAACAAAATTAAATTCTATTTAATTTTTTTTTCTAAATCCCTGTGTATTATATCTGAATAAGCTCATGCTATTATCAATTATCTCAAATTTTAAGCCCCGGTATAAATAAAATGCTAAGCGGAGCTCCAGTCATGGTTATATTATGTATTGAAATATGAGTTTCTTCGAACGATGAATATCATCGCAAATATTTCAAGTTTGGGTCGACATCGAATTCAGCTCGAAGCTTAACAACGAAATTTTAAAGTGAGCCTGCATGTTTGGTCATTTAGTCTTAAAAGGTGACTTCATCCCTCTCGTTACAAAAAGCTTTGCGTGGAACAAATTTTCGTTGCTGAGTGGGTTCCTTTGCCCACACGACAAAGCAATTGAGCATCTCTACCAATTCTTCTTGGACTCAATATGCCTACTTTTGTTTCACCCCTCTCGTTACTAAACTCTGCCAACTAAAGAATAAATTGTGGACCCTCTGTTTCTTTGCTCAAAACACGACCAAGCGATTATGCATTTCTACATTCAAATTCGTTTTTCCTCAGTCAAATGCAAATATGGCAGCGTACTGTCAGGTTCGACTTGATAAGGTTCTTTTGGGTTCGACCGAGGGCTCTTAAATTGGTTGTGTTTGACTCACTAGGCGGTTTGAAACTCCAACTCATGTTTTGAAGCATGCTTTCCACTTGGGAGATGATGGAATTGGAAAGGGCTCTTAGAGGAAAGTTTATCGTTTGTTTCTTAATCTAGCTGATCATGCAATCTTAAAAGCAGATTTATTCTTCGTAATGTTCACAATCTTAAATCGTTTTTGTTGATTTTGCTTTGTGATTTGAACATTGTGAAATTATGTTAGGCATGTCAGCTTTCGAAAGGAACATATCTTTGCATGCATTGTACCTTCATAAAACGGAGCACGCCCATAACCCTGGCCAGCATAGGCCCTTTTTTATTCCCATTACCTCCCTAATCTCTACAAACCAGATGGTCCATGAAGGAAGCTAAGATATTTTGTAGAGTAAGAAAAAAAAAAGAAATTGAAAATAAAAGATTCTAAAGAGAATTTAATTTATATAAAAATTGTCATGATTCCACTAAACATGTACAAAAAGTATTAATGCAATTTTTATAGATAAAAAAAACCTAAATAAGGCCAAGAAATGTGTTAGCTTTTCGTAAAAGTAAATGAAAATGTGGCTTTTATATCTTGTAACAACAGAAAAGTTCTTGAGGGGAATTTTCCTACTTTAGATATGCAAATTAACCTTTGACATGAAAAATTATGTGCCACATTAAAAATACACATTTCTGTGTGGACAACTAAACACTTGAGAAATGGGAAAAAATAAAAAAATGAAAGACATGTTTGGTGCATAGTATAGTATAGGTCTGGATGTATAAGATCTGATTATATTTTAATATTTTCCAGTGTTTGACATGATATTATATAATATAATACATCGTATAAGATAATATGATATAATGTTTGATAATGCGCTATATAATACTATATAGGATAAAAATAATTATGTTTAACAAAAATACCATTTAATAAAGAATTTATGTAATTCTTTCAAATATGTCATATGATATTAATTTTTATAAAAAACTATTGATCAGTGTGTCCAAAAAATATATTAGTTTTTATAAAATTAAAATCTACAAAATTTTAAAAATTAATATATTGAAAAATAATTTTTTATTTTAATATATTAATATTAAAATAATATATTAATTCTTGTGAATTGCATCAGTTAGCGATGTTAATACGTTAATCTCTTATCAAGCTTAATCTCACCCCTTTAGGCTTGATTAAATTATACATCATTTTGATGTATTATGGGATTCTGTTCTATAAATTTATACTATACGATAGTCACACCAAACAACTAAAAATATCATAACGTATAGTATAAATTTATATTATCAAACTTTATACGTCACACCAACATATGCGAAATGTATATCAGTGTTTTAGATTTTCAGTGACCTGCAAACAGTATACAATACATGCAGCTTGATATGCCTTAAACATATGTACGAGAATCGCACAAGTTTCATAAAATTCCAATACTAGTCCTCCAAGGAAAAAATTATTTTATAACTACTCGCCAAAGTCTTGATCTGTCTCCACTAATTTGATTATAGGAAAAACTATTCTTATGTTACATATGATAAATTTCTCTCCTACACACCCTTCGATAACTGTGTCACCTTTTTTTTTTTTAAGTGATGGAGTCCACAAATTTATCTCTATGACATGAACTTATTTCTTTTATCATGAGATTAATAAAACCTTTTGATTATTGTATACTTTTGCCTTAGATGTTGATGTTAACGTAAATGATACTTCCAAAAACTGGAGAGTTATAGAGTGGAGCCAATGCATGACTCTCTTTATTTTGCAACAGCTTTTATAAATCTAACTATTTAACTGCAAAAACTATCAATTCATACAAGATTATAGAATCATCCACTTTTCCACACCAGATGCACTCAAGACACCTCTCTATTATACACCTCTCTATTCGGAAGTCTCTAAAACTTCCGAATACCAAATGTGCTTCCTTTACCTGATACCAGACAAAACTCTGCATTATTTCTCTGTTTTTTGATGCAACACTTGTGCCTATTTAGAAAATCTTATTTTTAATTTCTTTTCTTATAAGTAGAAGCTTAGCCAAATATGTATTTACACTTTGTTTCAATAAATAAAAAAAGCAAAAGCTAAAAACTCCTGGAGAGAAACTTTTTTTCAAGATATATACTAACTTTTTTGGAGTTCTCGTTTATAATCCAATTTCACCTTTATTCTAAATTTTTATTTGCCAATTTTACTTTTTATACTAATAATTTATTCTGATAACAAATTATTTCATTTTTTTCTCTTTCAAAGCTCACAGAACAATTTTATAAAATCATCAAACTTTTAACTTTTTTTTTAAAGTTTTTTTGTGAGTGCTTAAAAGGTAAATTTTAACTTTTAAAAAAATGTTAAACAGGCTTCTCTAGTACACTTGTTATTAGCCATGATGCTCCACGTAACAACCATCAATAAAAAAAAACCGCTCAATATGACCTAACAATGTTATCCCTGACATTGATCCTCTGTACATAATGCTTTCAGGCTATATTGTACTGAAACTTCTAAAAACCTCAAGTGTCAGTGTCTGACACTCTGATATCTATAATATTTAAAATTTTATTACATATCATAAAAAAAATTAATCGATATTTAATCAAACTGATATAATAAAAATTTAAAAATAAATATCGAATAAATCTCGTTGAAATGTATAAGAAATTTTCAATTTGAAAATATAATAATAAATATTTATATCTTATATTTTTTTTTGCAAAATTGATGAATATTATAAATTTAATTTCATTTTTTTGTTAAATTATTGAATAGTAAATAGTAAATATAATATACACTACATAAATTAAAAATATTATTTAATATCAAAACATGTCTTATTGTGTCGATCTAACATTTTTTATAATTAACATGCCAAAGTATCGTGTCCCATGTCCCGTATTAGTGAAAACAACCAAATCCCTCCTTCCTCGCATAGACATTCACATTCACTCCAGGTTATCTGTAGTTTAGTAAGCGTGTCCAAAGCTTAAAAAAATAAAAGTAAAACAATAACTCTCAGAAACTATGTCCAAACGACATAATCTGCACATCAATTTTTATCATGCCCCCTTTTATGTTTTAATCTTCAAAGTCATCTGGAACCAGTGTGATTGAAGTGTCATGCCATTCTTAATGGTACAGAGAGTGCACGACATTGAAGTTTAGTCACCACAATAGTAACTATTTGACACAAATAATAATGATAAATTATGAGAAAAAGGCAAGGGAAGAAAAAGCTTTCAAAATATGGAGGAAATAAATCTACAAGCAGTCAAATTATGAGGCTACAAATTCAATGCAATTTTCATGTCACGATAATGTTTCATCACATTATCATAAGTAATTAAGATCTGGGCACTTGTAGGTAATAGTGCTTTCAAGAATTAAGATTTGGGCAATTAGCCCTTTCTTTGGACACTTGTACATGCAAAACTACTTTTCCAACAGAAGTTCCCAACAAGTTACAAAAGGGAATATGAGAGGGAAAAAAACAATGAAAATATACTAACCTCAAACAAAATCGTTCTTCCTGCACAGGTCTGAGTTTAAAAGTGAACAACGGACTTATAAGTTACAGCTAACAGTCAGATTACATGCATCATGTTTAGTGGCACCCTGCATGCCATCACTCCGAAAGGTGGTATTTTTTTGTCACTTATGGAACCATCATGAAACTGGTACTTAAGATGGATCAAACCTGGTTCAAGAAGTATAACGAGTGATGGTTTATTTCAAATTATGTACTTCAAATCAGAGGTAGAACAAAACATACATTAAGCAAAAAAAAATAACACAATAAAATGACTCTTAACAATTTCCAATCTCAATATGTTGAGTCCTTTCATGCAGCCAACCCTCATCCCTTCCTTCTCCACAACCCCCCACCCTGCCTTCTTCCTTTTCCGCAATACACAAACAAGTACCATGCATTAGAAATTCATGAAGTTCAGTGGTCATGCAGATTAAAAGGGAATCGGTTGTTGCATACCCAGTGAGGAGATTCCGCAGAATCTGAGCCATATAGAAAAAGCTGAAGTAGTGAATAGGGACCAATTGTTATTGAATGGTTCACAGAGAATATTGTGCGGTGGATTAAGAATCTGTTCGAGTATATGGTTAAAATATACTTGTACATCTAGACCATTCAAATGAAGGGCAACCTAATGCTATAAAGCTCCACTATGAGCAGGGTTCAAGACCTATTATGCAGGTCTATAGTAGACAACTTTACCTTGCATTAGCAAGAGGATGATTACATGAATCAAACCTATGACTTCCAGGTCACATGGCGACAACATCAACCCTTGTGCCAAGGCTATCCTTTCGGTAAGCCATTTAAATGGAAAAGTGAAAATTTCTAATATTTCCATTTCTCTCTCTCTCTCTCTCTCTCTCTCTCTCTATATATATATATATATATATATATATATATATATATATGTCTCCATAGAATTATTTGCATAATTTACAAACCTTAGAGAAATCCTCCCCCTGACCAAGTGGCATCTGAGCTGCCATTATGACCAACAGCTTTCTTGTTAGATGCACCTTCATAAAAATTATCAAATCCATCATCTTTCGCATTATCCCAGCCAGCCCAACCATCATTAGTATGGGAAGCCGATCCTTTAGTTGGTTCTTCCTTCCTACTATCTTTGTGGTCCCAATCATCCCAAGAGCTTGAGCTATGAGTTTTAAATTGTCCTGAAGATTCTTCTCTCCCGGTAGAAGAATTCCAGCCTTTGTTCTCTTGATTGAAATCCTGATAGTAACCATTTCTATCATTCTCATTTTGTTGCCAGTTATCAGTGTTCCAATTTGGGTTATCTCTAGTGTACTCCTCAACCTTCTGTGAAGCCAAAGCCATGACCCCTTTCATTATACCCCATGTCCTTTCTCCAATCTCTGCTGTCTTTTGAGAGACAACATTGACAGTTTCATTGACCTTCTGATCATATCCACCCTCCTTGACCTGAAACAAAGTAAATAAAGTTATTTAGGCAAAGAAAAAATGAAAACAAAAAATTTTCAAGAAAGTATAAAAAGCAAGAAAACATTGACCGTTTTCACATTTTATAAAAGGAAAGAAACTATACAATAAGCCTCTACAATATGAACAATTCAGAACAAATCCTTGGCCTAAAAAGAAATGCCTAAAACCTCCAAACCTTCATGACTCAGACACTCCACTCCATCCCGAAAAAAGACAAGTGAATGCCAGTAAGCCCTAAAATGGGAGATTTCACTTTGTAAAGCAGTCAACATTAATATCAGTGAGTTTAATTTCCAAGAGCGACTTTAATCTCTCTGTCTCTCTACCATTTCCAACAATGTACACACCTGGTTAGCATATAGCAAATCTGACACCCAATCACAAACAAGAGCAATGGCCACAAACTTTTCCAAACAGTAAATGTTTGACCAATTGACCCAACTTGAAATCAAGGTTACTACACCCCCAACACCATAGTTGTTAATAACGCACTATAGTGCATACTACAGCAATTAGCAGACGCACTGTAGTTGCTAAGTGAAAATAAGCTTCTGAATATTTAATCTCAAGAAAAACTTTATTAAAAAATGTCTGCTACTTCTTGAGGGGTACTTCTAGGAGCATGTTGGGGTCCTGTAAAAGGTACTTATATAACTGAAGTACATAATTTATTTTCCATACTTTGACTCAAGGAGATGACACATTGTTTTGGGTAGAAGAACATAATCTCTTCTAAAAGGCTAGACATATGTTGATGAAGAAACAAAAATAAAGGGAGAATTTATTCACAGATATATTAGTTTGCCAAAAGACTAGCAAAAATATCTATCTGAAAAAGATATTTAGAATTTGTTTTATGCTTTCAGTTTCATTTGAATTTCATTACACACTCTGTTCCCCATTCACCTCATTTAACAGCTTTTCTCTATCTCACATTGACAAGTTGTGCTCTCAGCTGCATTTGGTGATCCCGGCCTAATTACATTTATCTATCCTCAGAAACTAGACCAGACTCAATGAAGGCGTAGAAATTGGAAAGAAATAATTGATTTTATTCCCATTGCTCGCACGCAAGATAACATTTTCAATTTCCAAAGACCAGATATATATGCGGGGGGTGAACATTCATTTCCATCTCATTTCCTCCTTTGTTAATTTACTTTTTAGGTGTCAAAGAGAGAAACGAGTGTCTTTGTTCAAGATACACCCTGGTAAACTCTGGAAGAAGCAACTCGAACTGATACATATATGTATATAGACAACAACCATCTTGTGAACAAAGTTGATGCAAATCATGCAATTATGCATATACCTTAGAAGTGATGTCTTTTGTGCCTGCTTGAACAACAGTGGCTGCAGATTGAGCCGCAGATGCAGCAACCAGTGACAATTTACCAATCCCCTGAGCACAAAACATACACCAGGTTATATAACGATGAATTAATTCAAGTATCAGACGAACTTGAACAATTCAGTCACCTGAGAAACGACAGAGAAATAATCATAATCCTTCTGCGGATTGCTCCTCTGCGAAGGCGCGGGACTCGATCCGAACCCAACGTACTTCCCACCCTGCGACGGCGGAAGCCCTTCGGGTCGCGACTCGTTCTCCACCATCTTCCGAGCAAAGAAGCTCTCCTTATTCGCCGCTGAAGCATCCAGTTGCGACCGCGTGTACATATCCTCCGTCGACCTCGACTTCAACGGCGCACCGCCACCATTAACGCTCCTGAAATCTCCGGTCGACTTGCTCCTGAGATCTCCGGAGTTTCCCAAACCGCCTTCGTTATCCCAATCGTCCCAACCTCCGTCATTATTCCGGCGACTCTGCATCCGCGGCGGCTTCCCCATGCCGGAGGCCGCGAGATTCTCCTTCACAATCGGCGGATCGCGCCACGGACGGCCCTCGGCGATGGCCTGGATCCGATCGCGGTAGACGGCGGCGGCGTTGGTGTTGTACTTGGTGACGATTTCTGTTTCCTTAGATATAGAGTACTGAGCGAAGAATGCATTGAGCTTGTCGTTGCCACCGGCTTCCATCTTCTTGATCTGGATATCGGACCAGGAATCCATTGTCACCGATCGAACGAAGGAGATGTGGACGCCGAGGCCACGGTGCTTGCCGGAACACTCGAGGCACATGAACACGCCGTAGGACACCGACGCCCACTGCGGGTTCTTCTGGGAGCAATCCACGCAAATCTTGTTCGCCTGTTCCGATTGCAGCTGTCGGAGCCGCCGTGACTCCGCCATAAATGTTTCGATCTGAAGAATCGAACGGTTCCAATCCAAAATGTGACTGCTAAGTTAATATACAGAAATCGGTAATGAATGAATGAATGACACCGTGAGAGAAAACGTTTATGTTATTGAGACAAAGAGTATTCATAATTTCATTCTTTCTTCTATTTTTTTTTTTTTTTTCGTCTTTAAGAAAAATGATAGAGCCATATTAATCTTTTAAAAAAGATATTTATATTTGTCTTTTTTTAGGAACTAAAAGAAATTTTATCTGAATTTTAGAAAAATCATAATTTTAAAAAATTAAAATTTCATAGAGACTACAAATTAACTTCTTTTCTCACGAATTAAATTGGCTCTAGTTGTTTTTTGTTTAAGGAGGCGTTTGGTTCGCGAATTTTAATTTGAAAGCTGAGAAAATAAAGTTGGGAAAGGTTGTATACCATGTTTGGTAGTCAGAAAAGCACAAGTTTTCCTGGTTAAATATTGCCCCTTTTTTTATTTTGTTTGTAAGAACCTGTACGGCTCTCTAGAATGGTGATGACTATCGAATATATGTAATACATATATGGTCGAGCTTGTGAAAATAGAACTAAGAAAAAAGGATCAAATCTACAATTTTTATTTCAAATTTTATGATTTCAAAATAATCAAAGCAAGGGTAATTTTGACATTTACTTTAACATTCTCATCAATATTTTATAATTTATCAAACATAGCATTTATAAAATTAACTCAATTTTTTCTACAAATTTTTTTCAACCAAACACATTTTCTAATCTTATCCGACAAAAATTCCTTCCCATTATATTTCAGTAATAATTATTTTCTGGATAAAAAAAAAAATTTCTGTACCAAATACCTCCTAAAGACTGAAAAGAGTATTTACTTTTTTTTTAACAAACATAATTTCATATTTATTATATCATAAATATTTAAAAAGACATTGTCCTTTGGTAATATCATATATAACAAATAAAGTAAAGTATATTTTTGGTCCTCAGTAAATATTACGAGACTCAATTTAATTTTTTAGAAAAAAATTGAATTGTGATTCTTCTGAAATTCGAAATAGATTCATGTTAGTTTTTTTGAGGAACTAATGTGAGTTTTTTTTTTAAATTCAAAAAAATTACGATTTCTACTAATTAAATTTATTTTGAATTCAGAAGGACCACAATTCAAAAAAAAATTCTAAAAATTAAAATAAGCTAGGACTCAAAAAGTAATTTACTCTAACATATATAATAAGTTTTGATTTTATTTTTTTTAGTGAAATTATTCAAAGGTGCACTAAGTTTTTGGTTTAACTAATATAATATTGAATATTCTAAGGTGATTTCAGAGTCAGACGCACATTAATGAAAACATCAATCAGATTTCAACAAAAAAAAAAAAAAAACAGGAGGAGGAGTGGACAGCGAGAAGTGTTCAGAATATAAGGCCCATATATCTGCGTAAGGCCAATTGTACTTGAAGTTGCAATATTCAGCATGGAGAGGCACAGCCCAAGTATGATTGGGCTTAGGTTTAGAACTATCACTTTTACCTTTTGGAGAGTCAGTTGCTTGAGAAAATAATGGAAGTTGAAACAACGAGTAAGGCCCAAGTGGATTCCAACTTGTGGATAGAAAATTTGAACCAGATTTTGAAATTTTATTTTGGGGATATTGTTTTTAGTGTTGCATTAGATACGAGATAAATTATCTCATACAATATTCTCTTTTATTTCATAAATTTTTTTCTTGTGTTATTTTGCCTTTTCTATTGAAATAAAAATTGTAATTTTTTCCTTCTTCTTTTTTTTCCTCTGAAACCAAACGTAAGGTACTGAACACAAAGTTTGTCTATAAAATCGAAAGGCCACTCTTGAAGTCATGGTGTCCCGAGTTCGGTCATTGAATGGGCCATTCATAATAGAATCCGAAGAAAAACCTACCATTCAACCATACTATTATTAGCCAATCTCTACACGCAGCAAACAGTACATCAGAATATTGCTCATTGAGGAATAAATCTTTGGTACTACTGTTATACCAAAGATTCAGTGCATCCCACTAATGAAAATATTACATATCAGTTAAAATTCTTTTTTTTCTGTCAAATTTTTTCTCTCTCCTCTGATGTGTAATATTCTCATTGATGGGATACACTGAATCTAGGTACAACACTAGTACCAAAAATTTATTCCTTGTTGAGAGGACAAATCCCAAAATGGCGTCTGAGTGAGTAATGTGCTTTGAGGCATATAGTATATTAAGCAATAGAGATTGAAAAACGAATGTGGTGTTCCTTCTAAATAAGACTATGTATATTGTGCCTTCTAGGTTATGTAATCATCAAAATCCGAGGGGACATAAAAATCTCTCTCATATGTAGTTGGCACTTGGCATCCAAATACACTTTTTTACGTTTCCAGCAGTTAACCCTTTTTACTTGCATGTGGGTGTTTACTCCTTAAACACTTTGGCCATGATAAAGAGTTGTTGTCCTGTTAATTAAATATTTGGACCATGACAATTAAAGGAAAGAAATCCTAGACGAGACCCTCTCCCAACTAATTCAACAGCAGCTAGTTAAAGCTTTGACAGAAAGAGCCAATTAATTGGACTTAAAACCTTTCCAAATTGATTAAGAGAGTGCTAACCCTCACCCAGCGGTGATTGACAGTGATCGAACATCTTACAAATATTGCAGCCGTTCACCATAAGTCCACCCATCCTCGTCAATTATCTTTATGTTTCGACCACAAAAATATTAGTTATTAAGTACAGAAAGCGACCAGCCTAGTTATTTTGTTAGTCTTTTAGAGTTGATCAAGAGGAGATATTTTTTTTATTGGGAAAAAAAATATTTCAAGAACATGATGAATTTTTTTTTTTTGGAGTAAGTTAAAAAAATGTGTTTAGTAGGTTCAAAATTTTTCTGATAATATTGGATTAATTTATTTATATCATAGAAAAATAAAAATACCATGAATCAGATGATATTTTTATTTGAGAATGTGATGTATAAAATAAAACGATGAGAAAAAAAGAATTCTGAGATTATTTTCAATTTTCTCGTACCAAATGTTAAAAACAAATTTGCCTCTTCCTACTTTGTCATAATTTCTAGAAAAAAATTCTTATACCAAACAGCCTTTAGTTCACACGTTCAGCGGGCATTGCAGGTTAGTATTAATTGTGAATTTTTATGAACATCATTTATAAGTTTTTTTTAATGATAATCAATTTTTTGGTTTAAGGAAAGATGGGAAAGGCCCTAACGAATCCCACACAAACGGAGAGAAAGGAGTGAAAGAAAGTAAATTGAATTATGGAATTTAATTTTATATATTCCCGTTACTAGTATCTCACATTTTTACTAACCGAGTTGTCTAAATGATCGAGATAATAATAAATTAGTTTTAAAAATTGAACATGCAGGCAATATACTTCATTTTTTTTATTTCTGTCCAAAATTATTTTTTAGTTTTATTCGCAAATATTGTTTTTCAATATTGTGTATCTTTAATTATCTGCATATCGATATATTTTTTTAATTATTTTATGCCCCTTGGCTAGCTAAGAAATTTTCCACAAACGGAGGTTACTACAGTAGCACTAAGTGATGTACGAATCCAAAAAATACAATATTATAAACAAACAAGTTTGGTTTTGATTCATTGTCACTGCATATTATTTTTTGAGAAAGATTTTCATATTATTAATTTTTTTTATTATCAATTCACTATCATTCTAATTATTGCTACTTTTCAGTTGATAACTTTTAAAAAGTTTTTGAAGAAAGAGAAAAAAAAAATTAATGTACTTTTCAAAATACATAGTTATATTAAATTGGTAGTAAATTAGTAATAAAAATAATTGATAATATGAATATTTTATTTTATTTTATATATTATAGTCTAATTACACGCGACTATAACAATAAAAAAAATTAACTTATATATGATAATTATATTAAGCAAGCGGTGGTAGACTGGTAGTGGAGGCAACCCTTTATAAATTTTGGTATATAATACAATTATATATAGGGAAAACTTTTATTTTTATTGCAAAAAATATTTTTTGTCACATTCATATAAAAATGACTGAATTTCGCTTATTTTTTTTATTATAAAATTCATTTACTTTTATATAAAAGTGACGAAAAAATATTTTTAACAAGAAATACTAAACCATGGGTACAATACTTTTAAAATTTTATAGCGGGACTGTGGGAGCATAATAGCATATGCTGCTACAATCGACTAATTATTGATATGACGTGATATTAAATGATATCTAGCTCAATATGTATGATTTTATTTAAATGTCACATCAACATTTATATGCTGTGATATTTAAAAAATAGAAAAATTATATTTACAAATTATATTCATAAATTCTTATAAATTATATTATGTATGACCGATAATATATTTTTGAGTAGAGTATTACTGGTTAGACATAATATAATTTATAAATTTATAAAATAAAAATTGTCAATATAACTCTATTCTTAAAAGATTTGTGAGAGTATGTTTTCAAGTTTTGTATATTATTGATATGCAATTAGAAAATAAATAACTTTGTTGGTAAAATGAGATGATTTTGAGAAAATTATTTTGGGTTTTGACGCCTCTTTCTTTCTTGACACTAGGGGTGGTAAACAAACCAGGGGTCTTTGGCTCGGCTCGTGAAGGCTTGAATCTACATGTTTGAAATTGATTATTGGAATCAGGCTTGGACTTGTATAAAAGCTCGTTTAATAAAAAGACTTGAAGCTCCAATTCAAAAGCTCGGCCTTGGAGCCTCTCAGGCCGACCTAGTACATTAATTTTTATTTTTATTTTATATTTTTTATACTACTTGTAATAGTTCATTCTCTCTCCTCAATCCATTTCACTCTATTTTTTTGGTTAAACATATTTTTTGAATAATTTTGTGCTATATTATGCTGTTTGGATATACGTTGAATTTATGAATATTTATAGAATTACTAGTGCTTTGATTGTATATTCTGTTTGAATAAATTTTTGTTGTCTTATTTTTTTTTTAAACAGGCTAATAGGTCAAACCAGACTTTTATTTTTTGTAAATAAGACAGGACAAGGCCAATAATTATATTCGTAACGGGTAACAAGCTAGATCAGGCTGACACATTTAAACACAAGCTTAGCCTTTTAAGACCAAAGCTCGGCTCGGCCCGTTAACACCCCTCCTTGACACCAACTATGATTTGTTTCCTTTAAATTTTACGGTTTTAAAGATACTAAGTATTAAATGATTTTAATCGCTTACAAAAGTAAAATGTTAAACTTTTTTTTTACCATTTTATAACAAATACTTTACTTTTTATTTATTGTATATTATTTTCTATTTTCTTTCTCGTTGACATTTTTTTAAAGATTTGATTTGATGGCTACTTTATTATAATTATTCATATAAAATAATTTTTATTGTCCCACGTTTAATTTATTTTTGGAAGTTATTATTTTATTAATGCCACTTCACCATTTTATATTTCTTAAACTAGTTTGGATTGTGTGACAATTAAACCCTCCTTTGTAGTAGATTATTACCATAATGTTCATGACGTTAAGCAAAAACAAAGAAGTGAGTTTTTTTTTTTTTTTTTGGGTAACATATGACGAAGACCATCATTGCGTTCTTATTGGTTACGTTGAAACTACAGAACACTACAGAAAAAACAAAAAGAAGAAGGAAAATAAAGCTCAGTATATCCTAGCTGATGCATAACTTGAGTTCGAATATTGCAAAGGTTGAAAAGCAATCCAAAACAAAATCAACTGAAGTTAGTTCAGAGTCGTAATCATAAAATTTTATGACAGTACATGAGTAGATTTTACCAGTACAGTGGTCCTTTTACACTTGCCAGAAAATGTTTAAAAAAATGTTAAAAACAAAAAAAATAAAGAAAGAGACAAAACCATATTTCATTTCGGTTCAGTAGGGGCGATCTGGTGGACGTGAAAGCTCAAGGTGGTTGCCAACTGGTTGTTGCATTTTGTGGTGTCTGATGTTTGCATACCCCCATTTGCCATTGAGAGTCTTTGTAGGGAGTTCATGTTGCTGTACATTTGTAGTAGGTATATTTGTCATTTAACAAATGATATTTGGATAAAAAAAATATTTTTCTCTCCTTTTCATACAAGCATGATCATTTCTCATTTTTTATTGGATAGATATACCGAGTGAATGATATAGCAGTAACTGTAAGATATTTTCCTTCGTAGGGTTACCCTATCTTTTATTTTTTGGTGTATTGATGATTTTAATGATTATCAAATATTAATCCATGGTTAATTTTTACAATAAATGTTTCGTGTTCATTAAGTAACAATATTAAATATAAGTTGATAATCAAATGTATCAGTAGCTTGAAAAAATATAAGTTCCAAAATAATTCCCTGACTTAGTATTATCTATTTTCACATCCAAGTTCCAAGAATACATTATTCTCCTCAAATTAGTAGCTTCTTGATTTGGGACGAAACTTATGCTTGTTAATTGACTTTATTTGATATTAAAGGAATGTTTCTTGAAAGTGAAAGATATATAATTACTTTCGGTACAATGAATTCAGGGATGACAGTTAATATCCTCTAGTTTTTTTCCAATATGACCCTAACTTATAAGTTAATTACTTATAAAAATCTCTCACGTAACTTAAACAATTTTCATCATTTTCATTCTTTTTTTTCCCAATATCAACACCGTCCACTGCGCAATGTACGTTACTGTATAACACATTATGTATAATTAGCATCCGCGGTCTATGCAAAACATATCATGAGAAATCTAAGATAAAGAAACTCCAAAATGAACACACACACCCACCTAAATAATCGGTCTTAGACTCAATAGGAATAGCGGATCAATAAATTATTGGTTGAATCACTTAAATTTAATTTAGGTAAATATATATAATAAATATATAAATAAAAGTAGAGGAAGGTTACTTTACAACCTATTTTCATTTATAACCTCTTATAATCATATTTTAACAGTTGATTTTCACCGAACAATGGTTATTATTTTCGCAAATCAAATTTATTAATTAATTATTAATTCGTAATAAATGATAACCGTTAATTGACAAAAATCAATAATTAAAATATGATTATAAAAGATTGTAAACGAAAAATAATTATAAATATAACCTTCTTCGTAAAAGTTACGTAACAATCAAAATAATTTGATTTAGTAGTTAGCATTCGCCAATAGTACAAGATTAATAATTTAATACTGGTTGAGTTCAATTTTTGACTGATTCATCGATTTTTAACCAAATTACATATATAGCTGATGGGAGTGGATCTTCTCATATAAAAAGTGGTCATGTAATCATGTTATTTGATCATAATTATTCATTGATGATGAGATAAGAGAGAGAAAGAAAAGTATATTATTTTTAAATGTATGATTGTAATTAAATAACATGACTACATTACCACTTTTCTACATAAAAGGATCCACTCTCGTAGCTGATTAATTGACTTAATTGAATCAATTAGTGATCTGATTCCCGATTCAATCAACGGAGTCAGGTTGATTTTAGTAACACTGATATCACTAATATATTCTATGATCACATAATTTTGCTAGCATTTTTGAGAATTGGAGGAGATTGAGGTACGTGCTTCACGTGGGTTCCACTCCAATGGTCACACAGCCCAAGATGCCTCATAACTGTGCTGGCACTGAAGTAGTGACCATTATAAGTTGAAAAATAGTTGAGTAGTTTGGTCGTTGAGGGCATTAACAGCTCTTCACCGGTGAGAATTTAATACACCCAATCTTTTGTCCAAGTAAAGGGAATTTACAACCTGCAACCTCCCAAACACCCCATATATCTATAATCATGCTTTTCCTCCCTCATTTTTTGGTCTATTCGTTGACCCCATGCTATACCTGCTCCCCTATATCATCCCCCAACAATTTTTTCCTTATTTAACTTGCTATATAGCCTTTGCTTGCCCCAACATGCATATATATACTCTTAGACACTGCTTTTTTTCAGCTCAGAAAGGAAACAACTTTGAGCTTGCTTGATAAATTTTGTTGTTCTCGATTTGCGTGCCACCATATATATATACATAGTCAGTCAGTCATTCACTATGGTGAGTATCTTCTCGTTGGTAACAGGCAGGCCCGGCCCAAGTGGATTTGGATCCGCTTCAACTGCAGAGCAGGTTACTGAAGGAATTGATGCCAGTAACATCACTGCAATTATCACAGGTATGTTTTTTTTTTCTATCAGTTTTATACTACAAGTGTATAATGTTTTTTGGACGTTAGCATCCGAAAATTCACGGATTTGAGTATATAAAAATAGGGAAAAAGATCTCTTTACATTTTTTTTTTTTTCAAATTATACACTGGTGATACATTCTTAATTAGTGTATGACCGGTCAGACATAGTTTGTAAGTTTATAAACAAAAAGTTAGTAAATATAACCTTTTTTTCTGAAAATATAATAAGGTTAGTAATTTCATGTTCTTGTTGAACCTTGATGTTTTAATGATGACACTTTCATGGTATAGCAATTTTCATGCTTTTACTACGTTTATGTCTGCTTTCTTTTGTCCCTTTGTTTCCGGGTAGAAGTCTTCACTTTTTCCTTTTTTAAGTATCTGGTTTTCTTTTTTGGGTAATTCACATGTATCTGTTCTTGTGATACTGAATGTTTAACATTGTACTAAAACTTAATGGTGGTTTTCTTCATATGTAAATCCCATTAATCTAATCCTTCCTTAAGAATGAGAATTGATGTATACGAACAATTAGCTGCTATAACTTTGTAATTACAAAGCAGAAGAAAGGAAACACGGCCAAGCATATTGCTTGTTCTTTTGTAACAATGTTTTAAAATTTGAATTTGACCAGCTGGTTTGACCCGTTAGATCATAAACCAGCCATGTTTTCAATACGATTATTTCTTATTATGTTTTTTTTTTTTTTTGGATAATATTATTTCTTATGATGTTGTTCGGTTTGATCTCGACTAAGCTCTTAATTTAGCCAGATGAACCATTTAATTCCCCACCCTTAAATTTTCAGTTCAGTTTTTAAAACATTTTCCTGAAGGATGAAGTTGAAACCTGGTTAAGATCCCTTTTCAGTCTCGTAAATCTTCTTTTTCCAAAATTTTCTTAATCACTTTTTATTTTATATTATCTTTTTGACTGGATTATTTTATCATGTTTCCCTTTATATGATTTCTTTATTTCTGATATGCCTTCGCTACTAGTTTCGTGGTTTTTCAGTTAGGCGAAGTGAAGAAAAGGAAAACCAACATATCCTCCTACCAGAAAGTAGTTTGGTTTAACTTGGATGGATCCATTTCTTACTCTTTCCTCTGAATAAGTAGTAATTAAGTACTAGGCATTTTTCTGGGTCGGGGCAGGGTAGTGTTAAAGGAGAAAGGTAAACAAGTAAAAATGGTGTAAATACTACATATACAATTCAATTTAAATATATGAAGTAATAAAAAAAATTGGATGAGAATTGGTCCAAACATAAATACAGAAGGTTGAAAATAATGTTTATATCCTCCAATTCTGTTTAATTATCAAGTTTTCTTAGCCTTATTAGTACATAATGCATGATTATTCTGCTGTACTAAACACTGGAAAACAAATGCAGGAGGAGCAAGTGGTATTGGCTTGGAGACAGCACGAGTCTTGGCTCTTAGAAAGGCCCATGTCATTATTGCTGCGAGAAACATGGAGTCTGCAAAGGAAGCTAAACAACTCATACTACAGGAAAATGAGTCTGCTAGAGTGGACATAATGAAGCTTGACCTTTCATCAGTGAAATCAGTTAGATCCTTTGTGGACAACTTCATTGCTCTTGATCTTCCTCTCAACATCTTAATGTGGTTTTTTTATCCCTCTCTGGTTCATTTCATTAGAATTTGTCACGTTCCAAATTGGGACTAATAGCATTATTTGCCTTTGGTTTCAGAAACAATGCTGGAGTCATGTTCTGCCCCTTCCAGCTGTCAGAGGATGGGATTGAGATGCAGTTTGTAACAAATCATCTTGGTAGTGTCTTACCAATTATGCATATCATTATTGGGTTACTATCTTTAGTCTAATTGGTAGTATTTTCTTCTCTTTTTCTTTCAGGTCATTTCCTCTTGACAAACCTTCTTCTTGACAAGATGAAGCAAACAGCAAAAGCCACTGGAATCGAGGGTAGGATCATAAATCTGTCATCAATTGCCCATACCTACACTTACGAAGAAGGAATTCGATTTGATCACATCAATGATCAAATTGGGTATGTATGTTACACTTTGACTCCACTAGCACTATCACCCTGAGCTTGGAAACGTGTAATCTTACTGCTTCATGCATCTTTTGCAGATAGCTATAGCTTAACAAGATTTCTTTTTTTAACCAATATTGCTATATAACTTTTCAGTTACTCTGACAAAAAAGCTTATGGGCAGTCCAAGCTAGCCAACATATTACACGCAAATGAGCTTTCTCGTCGCTTGCAGGTGAACATACTAGTGCTTCTATTACCTTTTTTAAGTGACACCACAAAAAATTAAAAATAAATTACACTAGAAATCATAATAAATTAATGTTTGGGAGATAGATAGATCAATGCCTATCTGAATGGAATTCAAACTCAGAATTTACATTTTACATTCTGTTTTGACTGTTTCCTCTGACCATATAATTCACTAAGTTACTACCTATAACTTGTTTTATTAATCATGTTAACAAAAGAGACTTTTTGTCGAGTAGGGCTCATATTTCGCATGCTGATGAGAGCTCTAGTTGTCGGGATCAGCAGAAAGGCAACTGGAGTCCCGCTCCTAGGTGAGCGGGCGGGGTCTAGGGGAGCTGCTCCCACGGGGTCCAGGGGCAGCGTCCCCAGGCCCGTAGAGGCTAGGTACTGTTATGGACCTCTGATTCATTGTAATTTTCTTAGCAGTTTGGGCTTGGGCCAATGAATAGCTGCTGTTAGGATTTTCTAATCCTATTTATATTTTCTTTATAAACCGAGTGACTTGTAACGAGTGACGCTGAGGAGAATATAGTACAGATAAGCTGAACGTAGCTTAAATTGGGTGAACCAGGGTAAATCTCTTTGTCTATTCTCTTTTTTTTTCTCTTTTTGTTTGCGATTGATTGTTAATTTCCAATATTTTTCCAAAAGAAGCCATGGAATAATTGAGCAGACCCCACTTTGTGTACTCATTGGAAACGTATTAATTAACTTCTGGTTTCCTATGTCTGCAGGAAGAGGGTGTTAACATCACAGCCAACTCTGTCCACCCAGGAGTGATAATGACTCCTCTTATGAGACACTCTTCATTACTCATGAGTACGTGACTTGTCCTATGACACGTACACATTATAATAATAATAAAAAAAAAAAAAACCAAAAAATACAGTTAACTGTTCTTTTCATTATCTATTTGTCTAAGACAATAATATTATAATTTCAACCAGATTTTCTGAAGATGTTCACATTTTACATATGGAAGAGCGTCCCACAGGTATTCTATTTTAACTTTTCCTCCTTCTAGCTAGGATTCAAATACAGGTGCAAAATGTTATATTCGAGAGTGCTCAAAATACATAGTCACTAAAAATAGTATTTTTTATTTTCTAATTTTGACCATGCAGGGAGCGGCCACAACATGCTATGTTGCTTTGCACCCAAGCTTGAAAGGTGTAACAGGGAAGTACTTTCTGGATTGTAATGAGTTTCAACCAAGTGCATTTGCTTCAAACGAACACTTAGGAAAGAAACTATGGGATTTTAGCAACAGGTTGATCGATTCAGTTTCAAAAGCTTGAATGCACCTGCTTCTCGGGTATTTTCTCTATAGGGTTGGTCACCGGTGTATCAAAAGTTGTTCGTTACTTATGCTTAAGATACTCGTCACAATTATTGTAGTTATTTCTATGACGATATTTCTCAAACATTTGACTTTTACTTATCCTAGGTTCTCCGTGTGTATCTTGTACGCGTAATATAGAGAGGTCTTCTTTTATGGATCAAACATTCTCTTTTATGGATCAGAACCCCAATGTTCAGCATAGCCCAAAGATAAAAATATAAAATTCAGAAACCAAGTTATGAATCAACGTTGTTAAAAGTTAAAACTAGACCAGATAATAAACCAGACTTTATATTGAGGTTCAACGGATTCTGTTGACGGGTTGAATCCGAAGTGTTATAAGAATATGGAATTTATCCACCCACTGTAATGTAATATAATAGAATCTTTGTTATTGATTGAGATACTTTTTTATTATACTATCTTCTTCATTAAGATAAGTGACTTTATCATCATTTAGTGGTTTTTTCTTTTTATGTTTTTTGAAACTTTTTTTTTTTATAGACATGTTTTTTTAAACTTAAGTTATATGTTAATTACTTTTAAATTTCTTCTTTTACATTAATCTTGTTCCTTTTTTTTTCTCAAATCACATGTGCTCTACTCTTATATACTAAATTATGTTATACTATCTACCAAAAATAAATAAAATAAAAAAATTATGATATCCTATTTTGAGTATCGGGAAATCTTATAAAACGGGATTTACCGTTTTATTTTGTAATTTTATTTCTCTCAAAGAATGATGATTCATTTCAAATTTTTCTTCTTTTAAATTTAAATTCTTTTGGATGAATATGCATATTTTATTTACAATTTTAAATTTCTCTCTTTTAATATTTTTTTTTTATATTCAATGTGAATTAATTGTGCATAGATTCCTTATAATTTTAAATATTTTTCTTTTACCTTGTATTTTTAAAATTTTACTTAAATTTAAAATACACAAGCAGTGCATGGTGGACTATTAGAATTTTTACACCCAAACATTACATCAACAAGGATAGATACATCAAAGGGGTTATCCCGTTATTTTCATGTCCCATGGCCTAATTCTTAGGAAAGCATACACCACCACCTATGTAAAGAACTTTGGGATACACCACCCCAAAAGCTAGCTCAAAGAGTGGGAGTGCCCAAGGCCTTATAAACTCCACATTAGTTGGCTCATACAACCAATGTGGGACTATATATCTCAACACGCCCCCTCACACGAGAGTCTATTGGGCTTGAAGAGTGGATGATACAACAGTCCCAACCTACCTGTGTTAAGAAATTCCACAAGAGAAAATGGGGGGCGGCGAGGTTTGAACCCGCGATACGAGGCTCTGATACCAGAAATGTGATCAGAAGCCCCAGAATCAAGAGTCCAAGGGCCTATAGAGTGCAACTGAGAGATTCCAGCAAAAGAATTACCAATGGGAGCAATGGATGCAGTAGGACCTGATGTTTGCTTCTCAGACCACCAAGTCACAAATTCGTTAAGAAGAGCAGCTGGAGGTTGTGTACCGGAAGGTAACCCTGGAGCAAAGGTACTAGAGAAAGCCTGAGCAATATGAGCATTCTGAGGAGGTTGAGGTGGCTTTCCATGAAGCTTCCAACAACGATCAACAGTATGATTGGTCTGATGACAATGAGTGCATAATAGCTTTCCTTTAGAGAATTTACGTCCACGACCATAACCTTGAGTAGCAAGAGCGGAAGAGTCAACAGAATCCACTGGAGGTATATGCATCATAGGATGTGTTGGTGACGTAGAGGGCTTAGATGGAATCCTAAGCAAGGTAGACATCACAGAATCCAGTGTAGGAACTGTAGCAGCCCAAAATTTGATCCTGATTGGCAGACAAATGGTCGGGTAAACCATATAAAATGAACAACATAAAAAGTGTACTACGTTGTTCATGTTCCTTAGTAACATCACCAGTAAGGGGCAGAAGTTCGTTAAGGTCATGAAGCAAACTATGAGCTTTCCCCAAATATTCAGTCATAGGACAATTGAAGTCCTGAGGAGAAAAAGTAGTCATCAATTTCCGACACACACCATAAGGTCGCTGTGTATCATTGGTGTACAGTGCTTTTGCCTGACTCCAAATAGCTTCACAGGTATTGGCAGGTCAAAAAATCTGCTTAATTGACGGATGAAGAGTAGCTTTAATGAGACTACACAACTGAGCATCAATCATCTTCCATCGTGTGCTCTCATTGGCTGCCACAGATTCAGCCTTAGTAGTGAGATGAGATGTATAATTCTACCTATCCAACCAAAGTCGCAGATCTGACGACCAAGTATCATAGTTGAACCCAACCAATTTATCCACACTCAGCGGAGCAAGGATATAATTTGAAAAAATAGTAGACTCCGACTTTTGGCCAGTCGGAGACCCAGAAACAGAAGAGACAGGAGAGTCCATAACCAAGATTAGGAAAATAATCATAAAGATAGATCACACAACTAACCGGTAGAAGAGGAATCTGTGCGTCTACGCAAAACGAGGTCCAAACACGAAAACAAGACCAGATCTAGAACCGTCACAGAGAGACGAGAAGAACGCAACCAGCCACGACCGGAGAGGAGGCTCCACGCGCCGCCTGTTGGAAGAGACGATAAATATGGAACTATCTTCTGAAGCTTTGCAAGACTAGGATGGCCCATACGAGCATGTATAGTAAGAGGAGAATCCACAATGGAGCAGGCTGAAGAAGAAGGAAATAGTTGATAGAGGCCCTGAGACTCACATCCTTTGGTAATCTCCTTCCCCGAACTCCGATCCTGAAAGATGACAGAGGTTTTAGTAAAAGAAACAACACAGTCAATGGATTTTGTCAAACGACTAACAGAAAGTAAGTTAAAAGGAGAATCTGGAAAATAGAGAACATGATCCAGAGACAAATGAGGTAAAAGAAGAACCGTGTTAGTCCCTCGTGATTGGACCAGAGACCCGTTGGCCATAGTAATAGTGGGAAAAGAATCAGTAGTACAAAGGGAAGTGGATAAGGACTTATAAACTCCACATTAGTTGACTCATACAACCAATGTGGGACTATATATCTCAACAACCTATATGAATATTGGTTGAACACAAAAGTGTAGTATGTTCTATTATATTTTCGGGTTTAAATTCTCTCTGGCGACAAGAAATTTTTTAACTCTCCAACTAACACTTCGAATTATGTGTTTCTCTTTTTTTTTTTCTTTTTCTTTTTTACAAATAATGGGCCCACTATTTTTTCTATCAATAGGAAAAGAAAAAGTCCCTCTTGTGAAAGGAGAGACATAAAACCTTATATTTTTAGGGTTTATTATTTCTCATGTGTGGGGTCCATGTGATATCATATGAGGAGAAGAAAAAAAACATGAATTCTACACATTTATATATATAAGATAATTTTATTTCCTATAATATAAAAAACATTAAACTCATATATTTATGCTATTATTGTATGGAATCTCTACTTGCAAGTAACCCAGCCTACGGTGGTGTATTGTACTTGTGCTTCAATTATCTCAAGTTTGAAGTAAAGGGCGTTTGGTAGGGGTTTTTTACATAGATACCCAGGAAACTTTCATTGGTATTTCTATTTGACCATATTTGGTACAAGAGTTCAACAAATTTTATCAGCAAAATCGTTTGCCCAGCCATTGTGATTCATTTGCAAAAATAGATGAAAAACACTGTTCTAAAAAACCACATTAAGGTTGGCATTTGAGGTTTAGCCGAGAAAGGAAAAAAGGATCATCATTTTGTAGACGAAAATGACCCTCATAAACTGTTGACAGTGGAGTCTCTTTCCTCTTTCTTTCTATTCAACTTACCACTTACTTAAGGGGGCGCTGTCGTAATTTAACCATATTTTCCCACCAATATTTTATCTTCAACCAAACATAGATTTTGAAAACTTAAACCAATTTTTTCGGTAATTTTTTGCCTTACCAAACAACTTTTTTTCACTTTCCTACCAAACTCATTATCCCCTATTTTCCTAGTAATTGTATTTTCCTAGTAAAAAAAATATCTCCTCTACCAAACGCCCCCTAATAGTATACCGGAATAGTGGATGAAACACACGTATCATTTGAATCGAGAATCTATTTATCTAAACCAATTTCTAATATCGTGTACTCAGTAATTGAACTTGGGATTGATATTTTTAGGTCTATTATAAGTGAGGGAAGTCCTCATCCATCAAATGGTATCAAAATGCCATTTTGTCTTGATTTTCAAAATCACTTGTTGATATTTATTTTTGCACATATAATTGGACTTGATAACAGCAAGAGCAGGTGGACTCACATCAAGTATAGGGATTTCCTGATTAACACCATTATCATCTTCTTTATCATCAGCCTCCTTCATGTGTGCATCTCTGTAATCTATCAAATTTACTTCAAGCACAAACTCATTGTCACGTATGTTGGGTCTCACTCCTTGTTTAGTTTTGATGATACTAAACTAGTGAAGTCAAATTATCTAATGGTTTGTTTAGTTTTTGAAAAGTTATTGTAGGACTTAATTTATGTTGAATTATGATGAAGAGAATGCTACATAATTGTCATGAAATTGTGAAGATCGAAGATGCAAGATAAAATCATAGATTTCATGTAATGATTGGAAGAGATGAATCCTGGTCATGCGTTGGGTTAGAATCTTCAAAGTTTTGGAAACTAAGGAAAGAAGATTTAAAAATTTTATTTTTTATCCAAATAGATTTTTAAGATTTGATTTTTTTTATTTGAAAAAAAAAGTTAATTTGAGATTAATTTTCTTTTTAAAAGATTTGATTTGATTTTATCTATTTTAGGAAATTTAATTTGAAGATTTTGATTTTATTTTCAAAATGATATTTTGGAAAGTTTTCTTAAAAATCATGATAATCTTGAGATTTTTCTTTAGTAATTGATTTTAAGAAAAAGCTTATAAAAATCATACATTGAGTATTTCTTCGTAGAATTAGTGGGTGAGCATTCAAGAGAAAATAGTCTTTGAGCATTCAAGATAAAAAGATTTGTGAGCATTCAAGATAAAAAGAATCATGTATCAAAAAAAAGAAAAAAGAAAAAGACTTTTGAGCATTCAAGAGACAAAAAAATTTGTGAGCATTCAAGTGAAAAGACGCATTAAGCATATTATGAGCATTTTTTCTTAGGGCGTATTCAAAATAATTTGGGAACCAA